TGGATGGCCTGAGGGGGAGCACATAATCAGGAAATTTTCATTTTTGGGTGAACTACGCCTTTAAATTAAATTTCACAAAGCAGACATTTGGCATATTCTGTTAAAAAGTAAGGATGTACAAACTACACTGAAAAAGCTTGTTTACTTGCTACTGACTGTCTGAAACACAATAGAATTATATCAGTTTTAAAATCTTGAATATGTAACTAAAACTAGTGGCAGTTTAATAACCCTGATTCAACCTGCCACCGAAGCATCACACAAATCACACAGACGCTCTCAGCTAATGTATGAACACTGCTCCATTCACTCGCCAGTTTAGACACTAGTGCACTAAAAGCACTCTGCTCGTGTTTGTCTGTGTGTGTTTGAGAGCGTACGTCACTGGCTCTAATGAATTGAGATGAATGTAATTCGTCTGCAGGTTCAAGCACAAACGAATGGGGCTCTTTGCTCTTCTTATAAAGCCCCGTCTGCCCTCAGACTCTTTGTTTTCTCAGGAACCCAGCAAATAAGTGCAGCCGTACACATTAATGCATATTTGATGTGACTTTAGTCCCAGAGCCACTTCATTAGTGGTAAAAGGCAGATGATGTAGCACAGTGTTTTAGGTGCTCCGTTGATGGACACAGTAATAAACAGCATCTTTTACGTCACATAGAAGGCTGCGTATCATCCATGTCCAAGACAACAGATGGAGTGACTCAATCAGACTGAGACAACGTACTACAAACTCTGGATATGCAGTTATAGAGAAGCAGCTACTGAAGACACACAGTGGCCCTGAAAAGTATCTGGACACTGAATGTCACTGCATTCGATAAAAACATCCAACAGCATGATAGCACAAGCACAAGAAAAACATTTCCTGATTTCATTCCTATGATTTCGGGGTGAAATATGACCTGGACATGTGCTTGACAGGTTTGGCGCTTCACCCGGACGCTGTAATAACCGGCTGTAAATGGTAAAGTGTTATATGTCAGTGAGTGATTGACAAAACCAGCTCGCTCCGGTAAATGTCACATTTAAAATAATACACGAGAAATAAAAGCGCAGTTTACAGAGGTGATGTCATCACACGTGTGTGTGTGTCTGTGTGTGTGTGCGCGTGAGTGCGTGCGAATGTGCGTGCGTGCGTGCGTGCGAGTGGTGTGTGTGTGTGTGTGTGTGTCTCTGCCAGGGCAGCGCTTTTGTGCATCAGTGCCGTTGTGATTGGATTATTTGGTGAAATGTAATTTTGCAGTGTTGCTGTTAGTGGTGTCACACACACAACTCAACACACACTGGAATCAGATTACAGTATTAAAATCTGCCGGCTCTGATTGCACAGGGATACTAGCACCTCCTCTTGCAGGAACACCACCATAAATCAATTAACTCTCATTCCTTCCTTCCATTCCTTTATTCCATTAAGACATAAAGCGCATTACACAGGTCGATCATTTACAGGAACGCAAACGGTTTAAACACTCCGAGCAACGACACATTTATTCAGAGAATTCAACAACATTCTGCAGCTGCTGATTATACTGATCAAATTCAATGTGATATATTTTTTTTTAAAAGCGAGATATGAGTATACAAGGTACAAGGTTCTTCAGTGTCACATGATCTTCAGAAATCATTCTAATATGCTGATTTGCTGCTGAAGAAACATTTCCGATTATTAGCAGTGTTTGAAACAGTTGTGCTGCTCCATATTTTTTGTGGAAAACGTGTTACATTTTATTTCTCAGGATTCACAGATGAATAGAAAGTTCAAAAGAGCAGCATTTTTTTGAAATAGAAACTTTTGTAGCATTATACTGTACATGTATTTACTGTCTCTTTTGATCAGTTTAATGCATTCTTACTGAATACAAATCTATTAATCTTTTAAAAAGATATACTATTTTAAAATAAAATATCCTACTGACCCAAAATACTCAATGGTGTCCTTGCAGTCAAATATTTGTGTATAAGTATTTAAAGGTAAAGTGTGTCACAATTACATTCAGTTTAACTTATAAACTACATTTCTATTTGAATTACTTCATCTGTCTTCTTCATCCCGGGACAAAATGTGACAAGCGTAACCAACCAGTACTGCAAAAATGATCCAAAAACAGATAATTTGGCAATCAGGTTTCCTGAACACTCCCTTGTTGGTCAAATTTTCATTAAATTCGTCTGAAGATCACAGAAGGTCCTGACCAGTATATTCGTAACCACATGTGTGAGTTTGAGAGCCGCATCTGCTCAGCATGCATCATATAGGCGTTTCTGGACATGTAGGAATAAGCAACAGGCGTGTGATTGTTGGGTTGTGTTATTGCTGTGCTTCATGTGGGCTGGTTAATTAGCTGAAACGAATAGAGAGTTCAGGAGCCATCTGGGGTGGAAAGAGAGAGTGTGTCTCCATCTGATCGTCCCGCGCTAAACAGCATCTCTCAGCTTGAGCTGTCTGTCGCTCTGGTGGACGGTCTCGCAGCTTTAAACGCCGCTCCTCCCCAAGATGAATGTGATGCTGATGAGGAACTCATTAGATATCAGCGCTATGCTAGCGAGGAGCTTTTATGTGCCATCAACACCAGTGTCAGCGTGTTCGTCAGGATTTCTCCTGGACTGATGCTGTCCTGAACAGGGTTTCCGCGGGGTCTTAAAAAGTCTTACATTTAGTTGTATCAAATTTAAGCCCTTAAAAAGTTTTAAATTGTACAATAAAAACTTAATTATGGTTTCAGGAGGTCTTAAATTTGGGGACGAAAAGACCAGAATTGCAATATGGCTTAATGTGACGATTAAACTTAAACTTTGATTTTATTGAAAAAACACGAGCGCTGCGCGTTTCAGAGTGTGGTGCTGCGCTGCTTTGTTTACTGCCGTTACCGGGGAAACAGTTATATTTCTGCCGTTCAGAAAGCGCCTCCTGCTGGCAGAGAATCAATGTGCATTTTCAATAAGCCTGTTTTATTCAGGACCGCATTTCTAGGACCCTATAGGCTCGTTTTTTTGTTTGTATTTTTTGTATGTTTTATTTTGACCCACTTAACAAAGTGCAGTAAACGGTAAAACAATTGTGGTACAAATTAGTGTGTTTATTAGTACATTAAATACTAGTTTACAAGGTCCAGCAGCACAGTGAACTGTTTTGCACAGCTAAATGGAGATTGCTGACATCGCCTCACACACTCAAGTTCATGCCAGCTCTTACATCAAAAATAAGATGGAAAGATAAAAAATAATAGTTTCCATGGATCTAGTCTTTGCATCTGTTTGTTTGATCAGGTCTAAAAATGCGGTCCTGAAACTGCAGCCTCCAGTATTGCAGGAACACAGTATTGGGGTTGTTTTTGTTCAGACCAATGTGAAAATCGACCCATGTTTTTACCCTGCAAACACGCAGAGCTGTAAATGTGAACTGTTGGAGATAATGCATTATAAAAATCTAAACAGTAAAATGTATTTATATGCTATTTAATTAATATAATAATTTATTGATAATAATTGTTTAAATTAATATAATAATTAATACTTTTTACTTTTTATGAAAACTTGTATCTGAACTGTAATTTATGCTTTTTACAGTCATTTTACAGTTTAATTTGTTACCATAGGCATTACCCTACCCCGTTCATAGGTATTAATTTTATTTGTGTAGGTCTTAAAATAGGTCTTAAAAAGTCTTAAATTTGAGCTTAAAAATTCTGCAGAAACCCTGCTGAAGTGAACGGCTCTTCTCCATGTTGGACCAACTCCACCAACTCCATGTTGGATGATTTATTCATAATTCAGAGTTATCAGCAGCGTCCGGACTCTCAGAGAGCCATCTCGACATGTGAAGATCTGCTGTGGAGGATCTCTACACTTACACACACAGAAAAACTTATGTTTTTCCCCTGGTGTAAAAAATAAATGACTAACCTGTTTTATGTGCGGATGAGATGTCTCTCCGCTTGTCTGTCTAGCCAAACACGCACACAGTTACTAAAGGACCACCTGGATTGTCTGGTGTGGTTTAATAGTGCCGCCGTTTGCGTGTGCATCTGCAGTATCGTTATTGGTTGGCTATAGTATTGTGCTTACAGTGAACACTAATGTTAATTAAAAAGTTGTTAAAATGAACTCTTTTAAATGAAATAAACTGGGAAAAAAAACTCATTCAAAAACCATGAGCTCATTAACATATGAACATATTCAGTTGCAATGCAAAAAGGTTAGCCAATCATAGCATCAAATTCATTTACATATCGAAGTCTTAAAGGTACAGATTTATTTGTAATGCTCAGAGAGAATGTGGAAAAAGGTCAATAAAAACTAAATCATGTTTTTACTATTGTAAGCAGTGTTGGGGCAAGTTACTTTCAAAAGTAATGCATTACAATATTGTGTTACGCCATGAAAAAGTAGTGCTGGGCGGTATACCGGTTCATACCGAATACCGGTCAGTATTTCCTCTCAATCAGTAGAAAATATGGTTAACACCTGGTCATGCATGAAAAAAAAATACACCGTTATGTACCGTGAAACTGGTATAATTTTGAAAAATACCGTGATATAAATTTTTGGTCATACCGCCCAGCACTATGAAAAAGTAACAAATTTTGTTACTTAGTTACTTTTTATGGAAAGTAATGGATTAAATTACTTTTGTGTTATTATTGTCACCTGGGCTGGGCTTGCTTATTTGTTTTTAACTAACAAAAAACCCAAAAGTCATATTTTTGGCGACTGTAAAGGCCCTTTCACACCAAAAGTGAAATGAATAAGCCGCAGGCACAAGGAATTGCCTCACTCCGTAACTCACTCACAATTTCTCTCAACACGGGACAGGAGAGCTGTCAGTGAATAAATGTGAAAACAAAGTAACTAGTATTACTTATTTGAAAAAAGTAACTCAGATATTTAAGTTTTGATTCTGCATGACACATTGAGATTGTTTAAAATATCATTAAGCTGATGATATAAAGCTTGGTCTTTATGAAACGGGTTGGTGAGATGTGTCTTTATTCTTCCAGAGCCCCCGAGACCCATCGCTCCACCTCAGCTGCTGGGCGTCGGGCCCACATACCTGCTAATCCAGCTAAACGCTAACTCCATATTTGGGGACGGCCCCATCATCCTGAAGGAGGTGGAGTACAGGATGACATCTGGAAGCTGGACAGAGACCCACGCCGTCAACTCGCCCAATTACAAGCTGTGGCACCTGGATCCCGACACGGAGTACGAGATCCGAGTGCTGCTGACCCGTCCAGGAGAGGGGGGAACCGGACAGCCTGGGCCGGCTCTCATCACCAGAACCAAGTGTGCAGGTCAGTCCGCTTGGCTTTCCAACGTTAGCCTTCACTTTTGGTGTCATGACACATCCAGTAGATATTCATTTTTGTATGGGGAAGTGATTAAAGTGGGATGCACACTTTGCATTTTTTGTCCTGTCAAATTTCAGGGTTCACAAAAGATCCCTTTTGTCGTAAGGAAAAATAGTAAGCCTTGAATCGCATAGTGTCACGGCCTTGTTGGTTGATTAATTGCCAGTTCTCACTGAAGGTGGATGACTTCCAGTCTCTTTGTCTGCAAATCGCTGTCAGTGCTAACACCCCTTAAAAGGATCGTTCACCCGTTCAAAAATGAACATTTTAATTTCTTTCAAACCTGTATCACCTTCCTTCTTCTGAATGAAGAATGTTTTAACTGTTTTTTCCACACAATCAAAGTCACCCTGTTGAAAAAAACCAGCATAGGCTGGTTAGGTAGATTTTGAAGCTTGGATGCTGGTTTGTGCTGGTTTAAGCTGGTCCTTAGCTGGTCGTGTGCTGGTGCTAAGATGGTCCGACCAGTTTAAGACCAACACATGACTAGCTAAGGACCAGCTTAAACCAGCTCAAACCAGCATCCAAGCTTCAAAACCTACCAGCATATGCTGGTTTTTTCAACAGGGCAGTGAAGTAATATTTGATTATATAGCGATTTATACAATACAGACTGTTTCAAAGCACTTCAATTCAGTTCAATAACAGTGTTGATGTTGCAAAGTTAGTATCAATATCCAGCTCAATTTAGATCAGATATATTATTACTGATATTATTGAATAGTAGTGTCTTTTAAACTCTAAGCAATATAGGAGGTACATTTTGTCAGTCTTGCCTAGTTTGCAAAACTGTTTAGGTGTTATTTTGTGTATACACACCTGCTCTGTTCATACACATGCAAATATACACAAAAAGGGCCAAATTGCAGACTTTGGGTTCCCCTGGAGCACATGGAGGTTCGGGTTCAGCTGCAGTCTCATAATGATCCACAAGTGGCATGGAAACAAGGGTCTTCCTGTTTCAGCTGCAGCACACCTCTTTTGAAAGTGTTTATTTCCCTTCTCGGTGTGGTATTTGCACATAAATAATTGCCTGGAGCTCAATGTTGATTCAGTTCAGTTCAATAACAGTGCTAATGTTAGTGTGACTATCAGCTCAATTCAGTTCAGATTGTGTTTCATCTGATTGAGTCAGTACAGTCCAATCGATAATATTACTGAATATCAGTGTCTTTTAAAGCCCAACTGAGAAAGCCAAAGGTTACAGTGGCAAGGAACCTAAAATATCAATTTTTAAGTGAACAATCGCTTGCCGTGTAAATACAGGAGGTACATTTTGCCTAGTTTGCACCGGTGTTATTTCATATATACACTCCTACTCTGATCATACAAGTGCAAATACACACAAAAAGGGCCAAAATGCAGACTTTGGGCTCCCCCGGAACAGATGGAGGTTCGGGTTCAGCTGCAGTCTCATAATGATCCACAAGTGGCATGGAAACAAGGGTCTTCCTGTTTCAGCTGCAGCACACCTCTTTTGAAAGTGTTTATTTCCCTTCTCGGTGTGGTATTTGCACATAAATAATTGCCTGGAGCTTCTTCAGAAACATAATTGGAAAATAAAGTAAACAAGTGAGCGTGCGGAGCAGCTATCATTGATGCCACTCACTGTGTGTGTGTGTGTGTGAGGTTTTTATGTGTTAATCATGACTCAAACCATGCGCTGAATACCACCGCTCCCTTATAAAATTGGAAGCGCACGAGAGCAAACACTCAGTCACACCGCATATAAGGGCCTCGTGCCTTCATTTGAGATCTATGATGTGATTCTCTCCACGGGTTTCCATGGCTCCCGTATTAAACATGGCAAGACTCGGTGAGGACAGATATACGGCTTGTATGAGGAGGCACGGAGCGACGAGTGTCTTCCGGAGAGTGGAAGAGAGAGAGGAAAGAGAGGAGTGTATGCATGGTTTCATGATGGAGAGATGCTCCGTATCCCCAGCAGTGCGGCCCACTCGCTCGCTCTCTGATTGAAATTCAAACAGGAGCTCCTCTCCCCCATCAATCGCATTTGAACTTTCATATTTTTTTTTATATTGGCAAAAGACGTTTTCCAGGTCTGCTTTAGACGTGGCTTTAGATGGAGCGCTTGCTGGGTTTTTTCATCTCCCTCTAGCCAATCACACACTTATCTCACCTCGGACAGGGAGAACTGAGTGGAACCGGTGAATTTACACAATTACGTTTAGAATGGTGCCAGTCTGCCCGAGTGCCCTGTTTGAATTCATATTTTCTCTCTCTCTGTCTCTGTTTGTCGGTTAGTTTCCTGCTAAGCCATATTGTCTGGCGCTCGTGTGGCATGTGCATATTTCACATTTATCAATATTATTATGTTTGGCAGCATAGTTTATCTTGGATGTGGCTATACATTTTGAAAAAGACGGCATTGAGGAGGCGTAAACTCCTGAACGAATATTGCCACTTGTGTGTGTCTGAGCACAAGCCAAACACACCGATTCTTTCCACTTAAAGCCTTGCTGAAGCTCCCAGCCTCGTGTCTGTGTTGAGCTCATGATTAGGTGTGTTTCTATCACAGCTGTGTTCCAGAAAGCTCCGAGGTCAGCTGACGCCCCTCAGGCCTTAACAGAGTTACAAACTATTGCTCAGAGCCGTCCCACGCTCATTTGAAATTTTCCAGTTTCGTCCCATATATCTGGAGACGAATGCTATCCGTCGGCGTTCCTGTTCATCTCAAAGGCAGTGGCTCTGTTTTCAGACCTGCAAAATAACAGGCAGTAGTATAAAAGGAGTAGCTATAATGTGAGATTTACTTGTGTGTTTTTCAAGAAATTCAAGCACAAATCTCCATTGCTTTCTAGGAGACATTGGGTGACCACCCATCCTGCATTTTAGGGACAGTCCCGAAATTGGAAGCTTTGTTCTGCATTCTGCAAGTTATAAGCAATGTCCCGCATATTATCAGTTTTGTCAATATTATTTTATTTTTCCATGAAATTACAATACCACAATAAAAAAAAAAGTTATTTAAAAAGTTGCAAACTGGGATTACTGGGGTTTAAAAATCTATTTGTACTACTGAAAAAGTAAAACAGGCTACAAGTTCAAGATGCACTGAATTCTGTAAAATGCATGTAATCTTTGTATAGTCTAATAAAGTAGCATAACTTAGTCACTGCTTAAGGAAATTGATTTAGTTCATTATATTTAATGTACTGAATAGTGCAAACTGAGTGCCAGTCGCAATTAACATTTTCAAAAGCTTATTGGCGATTTAAAGCATATTATCATCCAATGTCACTGTAAATAGGCTTTCCATTTAACATTAATTAGTATTTGCATAGTCTAATAATAAGTTATCACTCAACAGAGCAACAACCAGGTGATCACCCTAAGGAGACATGGTTCTGATATTAAAGATATATTATAATTTTTCGTTCTTATTGGGTGATTAATCTGAGCACAGATTGAAATGTTGTTCAGACGGAGATAATTCTGAAACTCTAGCAGAGACTTGTGGGATTACTTTGGCTTTTTGTCAGGAGAGACGTCTAAGAAGCCATAGACTTTAGCATTTGCTCTCCATTTAATCATATTGCTGTGTAGGAGAAACGTTTGAGATATTAAGATGATCTCGTTTGCGATTTGAGAAAATGAAAACTAGATTCAGTTCCTCCCGATGCCATGGGAATGTAGTCGCTGTCATAATGAAAAGTAACAACAGCAGCAGTGATCCTCAGTCTCAGGAACATTTGGTTTCTGTTGAACTTGTGGGCTGTGAGAGTTCAGAATGGAAAAGGTTATGTCTGATTATTTTTTTGTAGACACAAATACATTTGAATACAGGTCCCATGTGTGCATGTGTCAAGACTGATTATCAGCGCAAGAAAAACCATTATGACAATGTTCCAGACATCTCTCCCTCTGCCTTTTTATTTGGTAGAAATGTCAAGCCATTTCCCTAAAATAGCAAATTGATCATGTTTCCTATGATTCCCTGTTAAATAAATGAGAAGTCAAACATTGCCTCAATCATCATTGTACAAGTCAGTGCAATGTCTATAATGATGTCTGGAGAAATAAGCGTGAACTCGAGATGGAATTGAATCAGTGCCCTCTGCTCAACACCATTCAGATGGAACGCAGACTATTCAGCACTGGTTTCTAGTCTGAAAACGGCTTTACCACAACTAAACGAGGTCTACCTTGAGAGAGAATTGGCTTTGTTTCACTCAGTTCACTTTTGGGTCAACTGAAAGAGGTGTGACTTTGGTTTGGACTCGAATGTGAACACTCATAAAGAATGGCTCTCTGTTGGCAGACAAACTTCACACAACACACTGAACATGAGAGCTGTTGTTTTAATTTGATTTTAGGCTGTTTTGTTCTTTTAACCTTGATATCTAAACATCAGTTTTATAAAATGTTATTGCTGAAGTGTTTATTTATTTTAATACTTTCTTCTGTCCCAATTATAAGTACACCTTTCATATGGTGGTTCTGCTACAGAGTGTGATACTTGTTTGCTGTTTTTTTTTTTGAGCATCGTGAAACGGCAACACTAACTCCACCAGTGGAGAGAGTTTGTGGCTGACCAATGGTAGTGTTCAGGAAACCTGTCTGAAAACAGTCATTTATTTTCCTTACTGGCATAGAAATGAAAGACTTCAGATTTCAAAGTTTATCATTTTGCATTTGAATCACTGTTATGACATTTATTGAAATAACAGCACAAATAACAGCATACAGGCCTAGTTTTAGCTGTTTGTTGTAGCACAGACAGCTCAGCCGCCTAATTGTAGCCATATGTCTGCTTTCTTTTCTTTCTTTTAAAATTGGTGTATTGCAAACCTTCAGTGTGCCCGGGTACGTTTGAAAGTCGTATTCCCATCTGTCTGATAGCCAGAGGGCAGGATGTAGCGGCACATCTGGTACTGCTGTCTCTCTCTCTCTCTCTCTCTCTCTTTCTCTCAGCATGCCAT